TGGCGGGAACCCGGGAGGCGGAGCTTGCAGTGAGCTGAGATTGTGCCACTGCACTCCAGCCTGGGCAACAGAGCGAGACTCCATCTCTAAATAAATACATAAATAGCATCTGCATTCTTAAGTGTTGGTTCTGCCAGTCTGGGGCCTCTCCTTGATAACCTAAACTAGAAAGTTCCAATTGACACTAAGAGGGAAGGAGAAGGAAGGAATAAAGATGGGAACTGCCTCTGATGGCTGAGGCGGGGAGGGATGCGGTAGGAAGTACAGGTTCAAGGACCGACGTCGAGCCAGGAAGTGTACTGGTAGGTGGTTAAAAGTAAAAATCAAATCATGGGTCTTTTGTCCTCTGCGGAAAGAGGCTTCCTATGCCTAGTCTGCAGTGCAGGGCAACCTCGACCTCCTGGGCTCAAGCCATCCTCCTACCTCAGCCTCCTGAGTAGCTAGGATGAGCTACAGCCACATGCTACCATGTCCAACTAAGTTATCTTGTGGAGATGGGGTCTAGCTCTATTGACGAGGCTGGTCTTGAGTTCCTGGCCTCAGTCCTCCTCCCTCAGCTTCCCAAAGTGCTGGGATTACAGGCATAACCTACTGTACCCAGCCCTCAGGTAGCTTTTTTTTGAGATGGAGTCTTGTTCTGTCATGCCCAGGCTTGAGTATAGTGGTGCCATCTCGGCTCACTGCCTCCCAGGTTCAAGTGATTCTCCTGCCTCAGTTTCCCAAGTAGTTGGGAGTACAGGTACCCACCACCGTGCCCAGCTAATATTTTTGTATTTTTAATAGAGACAAGATTTCACCATGTTGTCCAGGCTGGTCCCAAACTCCCGACCGCAGGTGATCCGCCTGTCTCGGTCTCCCAAAGTGCTGGAATTACAGGCGTGAGCCACCGTGCCCAGCTTTCAAGTAGCTTTTATTTATTTATTTATTTTTTAGTTGGAGTCTCGCTCTACAGTCCAGGCTGAAATGCAATGGCACAGTCTTGGCTCACTGCAACCTCCACCTCCTAGGTTCAAGCAATTCTCCTGCCTCAGCCTCCCAAGTAACTGGGCACTATAGGTGCCCACCATCACGCCCAGCTAATTTTTGTATTTTTAACGGGGACGGGGTTTCACCACGTTGGCCAGGTTGGTCTTGAACTCCCGACCTCGTGATCCACCCACCTTGGCCTCTCAAAGTGCTGAGATTACAGGCGTGAGTCACCATGCCCAGCCTCAAGTAGCTTTTAAATAAGCTCACTGAGATGAGAGGCGGGGCCGTGAGCATAGAATAGGTGGTTAGGAAGTGATTAAAGTAGGGGTTTCCAATGCTGGCTCTATACTAACCATCTGGAGAGGTTGTAAAAATACTGATTGTAGAGAGTCTCATACCTTCACTCTATCAGGGTAGGGCCTGGTGTCACATTTTTGTAACATTCTATTACCAAAATCTTCATGGGTGTTTGCTGTAAAACTACCAACTTCAATGTGTACACCATCTAGGTTCTACCACTAGCATTTTTTTTTTTTTTTTTTGGAGATAGTCTCACTGTCTCGCCCAAGCCGGAATGCAATGTTACGGTCTTGGCTCACTACAACCTCTGCCTCCGGGTGCAAACAATTCTCCTGCCTCAGCCTCCCGAGTAGCTGGGATTATAGGTGCCTGCCACCATGCCCAACTAATCCTTGTATTTTTTGGTAGAGATGGGGTTTCACTCCTGACCTCATTATCCACCCGCCTCAGCTTCCTGAAGTGCTGGGATTACAGGCGTGAGCCACTGCGCCCAGGTTTTTGTTTTTTGTTTTTTTTTTTTTTTTGAGGGTCTCACTCCGTCACCCAGGCTGGAATACGGTGGCACAATCTTGGCTCACTGCAACCTCCGCCTCCCAGGCTCAAGCGATTCTCCTGCCTTAGCCTCCCAAGTAGCTGAGATTATAGGCCTGTGCCACTACTGCGTACCTAACTTTTGCATTTTTAGTAGAGACGGTTTCACCATATTGACCAGGTTGGTCTTGAACTCCCAACCTCAAATGACCCACCCGCCTCAGCCTCCCAAAGTGCTGGGATTACAGGCATGGGCCACTGCACCCAGCCTACTAGCATTTTACTATTCTCCATTTACTGATCTCTTATTCCACTTGGAAATGCATCAAAAGCCACTTAAGCTCCCAGGTGATTCTGACACGCAGCCAGGCTTGCAAACCTCTGAAGCAGAGGCTCATACGTCAGGGTGGCATTAAGGGACAAAGTAGAAATTCATCAAAGATCACATCGATGCCACTTTACCTCTTCCAGCAGCTGCCTTGTGGGGAGAGAGAGATCAACACGGGTCACTAGGGTAGCAAAAGGGAAAAGCATCTAATATTGATGAGATGGCCTGAAGCTCTCGGTGGTAGGCCCTGCTTCAATGGGGCCGGGGATACAGGAGGGCAGATTTGCTAAGAGTCCTGGTCCTCGGATCAGTGACCAATAGCTCCTTAGGGGAGAGGATCCTGGTTGTGGGAGGAAGTCAAGATTGACTTCAGATGTGGCCCATTTGGGAGGAAGATTGGGGAGAAGGTTTTACCCAGGTGGTAGCGGTCAGTGTGGGTATAGACTGAGGTGGTTTCTCAATCTCTGGGGATTGAGGGGTGACTAAGACCAGAGAACAGTGCTGTTTAATGGAAGATAGTCTGAGCCCTTGGAGGGTTCCCCTTCAAAGGTAGGATTGATGATGCCTCAGTAGACTATGTCCCATGGCACAAAGAAGGAACAACCCTATTTCAGAGCCATAGGGTAGCTGGGTACAGTGGTTCACATGTGTAATCCCAGCACCTTGGGAGGCAGAGGTGGGAGGATCAGAGTTCATGTGTTTAAGGCTGCAGTGAGCTATGATGGTGCCATTGCCCTCAACAGAGCAAGACCCTGTGCTTTTTTTTTTTTTTTTAACAGTCTCGCTCTGTCACCCAGGCTGGAGTGCAATGGCGCGATCTCGGTTCACTGCAACCTCT